CAATTAGCCAGCACACGCATTCGTCCAGTGCTAATGGCAGCCTGCCCGAGGCCTGTCCAAGCCGGGTTTAAAGGAGACATGGTCACAGCTGAGGGCCAGTCCTAATCCGAGCCAAGGCCTCGAAGCGAGAGTCAAGTGGGGGCCTGACTGGAAAGAAGGGGGGGGGGCGGGCATGGCGAGAGGCGGGCAGGGGCAGCATGACAGCTATGTTGTCAGGGGTACAGACCAGTACAGGCAGATGCGGGGGCAACTTCCTCCCACTCCTTATTTGCGGAGTGCTCCGACGGGTGCAGGAGCCGTGCCAGGGACAGCCGTGGAGACCCAAAAGCTTCTCAGCTTGGTGGTGACTTGTGTTTGTTTGCCAGACTCACGCCCCTGGGAAGCTCCAGCCCCCAAGTGCCCTGTCCTTAGCCTGGGACGGCCAATGAGCACCCAGGGCCCAGGCCCCAGGAGCCTGCCCTTCTGTGGAGCTCTTCTATGTGTGAGTTTTGCCTCCTGCCAGTCTGTCTGAGAGCTTTGATGGATGATCCCAGAAGAGAAGGGGCGAGTGTCAGACACACACACCCCCCCCCCCCCCGCCCAGCCACGCTCTAGAACGGTCACATGAGAGGCTACTAGCACCTGAGCACGGGAACTAGCCTAGGCATGAAGGCGCTACCAGGAGCCCCTGAGCCCCACCAGGAGGAAGCCCTGAACACTGCCAAATGTGACCCAAAGTCTTTGAAAGACTCTGGAGAGCAGATATGATGCTCTCAGTGCAGGCGAGTGCCGGGCTCCAGACATAAGTATAAAAGGGATGTGTGCGCCTTGAGCTACTGGCCTGCCCACAGCTGCAGAAGGTGGAAGCCGCTGGCGGCCGCCTTGGCAGTAACACCAGCATTGGACACGTGTGTGTGTGGGGGGGGGGGGGGTTCGTGTGTTGGCACAGCTGAGGGGAGTTGGAGAAGGTGGCTCTAGGGGCAGAAGGAGGGAGCGGGAAGGGGAGCCCAGCCTGGGAGACTCTGCAGACCTGAGACAGCCAGCCCAGTGCAACCCCCGTTTCTTTTCCTGGGGGAGCGTGGACGATTGTGGATGCCCTCACTGAGAGTTTGGTGGGTACGGGGGACATAGGCTCCCTACAAATGTAGCTTTACTGACACAACACACACAGCCCTAGGGGACAGGATTTTCGGGTGACAGAGGGACTAATTATCAGGGGATGAGGAGTCAAGTGCACATTGATTCCAAGCCCAGAGCGGATGTCGCCTAAATCACGGAACACCCTGGCATATTGTCCCCTAGTAAGGGGACGGCCAGAGAGGGAGGGGGCACCCCCAGCCACCGGCTCAGCTCCTGCACTGAAAAGTCAGGGGGACGGGGCTGGAACAATAGCACAGCGGGTAGGGCGTTTGCCTTGCACGCGGCCGACCCAGGTTTGATTCCCAACATCCCATATGGTCCCCTGAGCACTGCCAGGAGTGATTCCTGAGTGCAGAGCCAGGAGTAACCCCTGAGCATCGGCTGGGTGTGACCCAAAAAGCAAAAAAGAAAAAAGTCGGGGGGAGCCTCTGGGGTCACTGACATGAAATATCGGGGACAGGGAGCTGAAGAAGGGTCGATTTTGCTCGTGGCCAACAGCCTGGTTTAATCTGGGCCCTTCCGAGATGAGGGAAAGTACCTGGGGATTTCTCTCAGGATCTGACCCTGCAGGGAAAGGCTATTTTTATGCTCCAGGCTACAGACTGTGGGGATTTCTGGGAATGGAGCAGTAGGCAGGTCCCATGAGGGGCTTCGTGTCACTGTCCCCAAGAAGGCGCCGGAATCTCAGTCTCTCTGACATGTGCAGCTCAGGCCTCCCCATGAAAGGTCTGGTAAGGGATGCCCCAGGTTGAGCAAACAGACCGCCAAGTGGCCCAAATGTGACAAGGGAAAGCCAATAGGATGAAGGTCCCTGTTCTTTTCTGGAATATTCACGTATGCATGTCACTTAGCCAATTCAGCAGTGTGTGAATGAGGGAAACCGGCAGTCTCCCTTCCCCCGCACAGCAGGCCTGCGGGGATAGGAAGGAAGTATTGTTGGTGCCTCTTTTCCAGTGTGAATTTTTAGTTTTTATTTTTATTTTTTTATTTTTTGAGTTACACCTGGTGATGCTCATTAGTCCTGGTTCTGCACTCAGTAATCACTCCTAGAAATACTCAGGGAACCCTATGGGATGCTGGGGATTGAATCTGGGTTGGCTGTGTGCAAGGCAAATGGCCTACTTGCTGTACTATCACTCCAGCCCCTCAGTGTGAACTTTTTTTTTCTTTTTGGGTCACACCCGGCAATGCACAAGGGTTACTCCTGGCTCATGCACTCAGGAATTACCCCTAGCAGTGCCCGGGGGACCATATGGGATGCTGAGAATCGAACCCAGGTCGGCCGCGTGCAAGGTAAACGCCCTACCCGCTGTACTATCACTCCAGCCCCCTCAGTGTGAACTTTTAAAAACCTCTCCCTGTATGACTCGTGGGATGCTGTGTTGAGTAGTGGGTATGGGTGAGAGGCAGGGGTCGTCTCTTTACAGCCTTCTTTGCTTCCAATAATGAGACACTGGTGGTTTCCGCCCCCCCCCCCCCCCCCAAACTTGCCTGACAAGTGATTTTTTTTAAGAACCCATCATAAAACAAGAAACGTTTGACATATACAAACTCTTGATCTCTTGTGTAGAAAAACATTCCACTCAGGGGCCAGGTAGATAATACAGTGGGTAGGGTGCTTGCTTTGTATACAGTCAGCCCAGGTTCAATCCCTAGTATCCTGTACGGTCCTCTGAGAACTGCCAGAAGCAACTCCTGAGTGCAGAGTCAGGAGTAACCCCTGAGCATTGCCGGGTGTTACCCCAAAACCAAGACAAACACACACACACACTCACACACATACTCTCTCACACACACACACACTCACACACATACACACTCTCATACGTACACACACACACACTCTCACACACACCACTTTCCACTTAGGCTTGGGTTAAGTAAACCTGAGATTGGCAGCAGACTTTCCCCTTCCAAAGCAAACACTTGGATCAGAATTATTAACGCTAAGTGAGGAAACAGCCTTAGGGTTGGGGGTGTGGGGGGGGTGCAGAGGCGATATCTGACTTCCCAAGGAAAGCAGGAGTCACCACTGCCTGCAAAAACAAGGTGAGATGAAGATAATGATGCCCCATGGAAGAAAGCCGGACTCGGCAAGTGCACGGGCCCTTGGCAATTTTCAGGGTCCATGTGGGAAAGCCGTGATGGACAGGTGGGTAGGCAGCGAGGGGGCAGATTAGACAGCGGACAGGTGAGACAATACGGATAAATGGGTCCCATCAGGGTCTCCCAAGGTGAGTGATAGCCCTCCCCAGGAGGAGCTGGAATCCTGAAGCGGGGAGGTGCCCAGGCATTGTGACTCCCCCAGGAAGCTCATCTGGGGGGATGGGTGGGCGCCACCAATGTGCCAACACACCACCTGGTGTTGGATACAAGAGCCAGTGCAGCAGCCAAGGTCTGAGGGCTCAGTAATGGTGGGGGGAGTCCCCAGGCTGCCGGTCTCCCAGTGCTGCTGGGCTCAACTTCCAGGGTCAAAGGCCTCATACTTAGAGTCAGGCCAGGACAGTCACTTGGAGCAGGACCAACCCGAGGCCCCCACTACAGAGAGTGCTGGGGGCGTCGGGTGCTCTGTCTTCTAGGCTTTATCCTTCCTAAAACCATTCCACCCCATAGCCAGTGGGGGCAGCAGCTAAGGGGACAGCAGGGCCTGGGGCCTTCCCTCCGGCTGCAAACCAGCAATGCAGCTTGGTGGGGCACATCCAAGGCCAGGCTGACTCAACTTGCCTGCAGGGTGCTGAGTGAGGGGACCCCGAGAGAAGGAGGAACCCATTCCAACTGGGTAGTTGAGGGGACTGGAGCTCGTGCCCCCACCAGCACCCTACCCCCGGCTCCTGAAAAATCTGATTTTTTTTTCCCAGCCCCAACCTGGAAATCTTGGAACTCCCCTGTCCCCCAAGAAGCACATGGGCTTGCTGGTGTGGCTGAAACGCTGCCGTATTTATTGGAGAGCTGGGGCAGAGGCATCTGTGCCCAGCGTCCCTGTCTTGGTAGCTGGGCTCCTGCTCGGGCAAGAGCATAGCTGTCGGGAGCAGCAGCTAGCACGTGTGCTGGTGAGCGGGTCAGAGAAAGAATGGCCAAGGGAATGGGGGCAGAAGCCTGAGAGCAAGTGCCCTCAAGAGTCTTCATCATTCTGGCCCTCTAGGCAGGACTTATGTGTACCAGGACCAGGCTTTGTGGCATTGAAATGTGACACCCGCTGCCATTGGCCAAGAGGACGGAGGCTCTCGGGAACCCCATGGAGGAAGTCTGTGGGCACATATTGGGCTTTGGTTGTGTGGAGCAGTGGAAGGAGAGTGTCCAGTCTCCGGGGTGGGAAGCGTTTGCATAACGCAGCAGAGACAGGAAGGTCTGGATGGGGAGGAAGTCAGGTTCCTGAGCCAGCAGGCAAGGAGGAGCTGTCTTTGCAGAGGACCCAGCATCTCGGGCCAGTGGCCCCAGGATTCGGAAAGTCAGGAAGGCAGCAGTAAGCCAACAATGGTCCAGGCCCAGTGTGATGACACAGCTCCAGGTCCAGCTCATACTTCAGCCTCGGGGAGCAGGGAGAGGCGTCTAGTCCAATGGCCTGTGCTCACCGCAGAGAGGGAGCCACTGTCCACCTCTGCCTCTCCTGTGGGGAAAGGCTCGAGGGAGAAGTGGTGTTCCCAGAGCTTATTAATAGGCACCGGGGGCTGTCTGGCCAAGTCACCATCCTCCTGGTGAGCTGGGGTCAAGCTGGGGCCAGGAGTTCGGGACTTGCTGGAGATCACCAGTGGCTGTGCTGGAGCAGGACGGACACTGCCGACCGTCCTTGACTGGGAAGCTGCGCCCCCCTGAAGACTTCCCCATCAGGGCCCTCCCGGGGTGAGGGGCAGCGGCCAGCACTCCCCGGAGAGCCCGCCATGCCTAGCCCCGCAGGTAGGGGGCGCGCGCGGCCTCCAGCTTCTCCCGCAGCTTCTGGCTCAGCAGCGCCGCGTGGCGGCCGTGCTTGCGGGCCCGGCGCAGCGCGCGTTTCACCCTGTGCACACGCTCGCGCAGCTGCCGGTTGCGCTCCTCCAGCGCTGCCACCTGGCGCTGCAGTGTCCTCACGTGCTCCTCCTCGTCCAGCAGGGCCTTCTGCACCGACGCGCACAGGAGCTGGGGACACCAAAGCAGCGGGCTGAGTCCCCTCTCGCCTCCCCAGTAGCCCACGCTTCCCTTCCTGGGCTCCCTCGGGTGTCGGAACTTTAACAAGAGTCTAAAGTCTTGTTTCTCCTTGCCAATGGACATGACCCAGTGGGTCAGTGGTCAGAGCCGCCGCCCACCACCACCACCACACACTGGGAAATTGCAGCATGAGCAGGAGGAGTTTGTAGGACAGTCATAGGAAAGGCAGCTTAGCCCCATATGATGAGCCTTAGAGAACCAAACTGCTTTCACCCATCACGTGGCAGAATCAGGATTTGAGGCTGGGGGTGTGACTTCTCTAGAGTGTCCTGAACTTCATGGAAATAAAAGTGTGTCTGTGATCTCCTGGGACTTCGATGTCAGACCACGCACATGCAAGCTCCTTACCCCATCCTCTCTCCCACTCCCATTAGTACACACACACACACACACACGCACACACACTCCTCACCCCGTTCCCTCTCCACTCCCGGGCTGTGGGTCTTTGGGGAGGAGAGCCTGCACAAGAAACACGGGAGGTGGCTGGGCCAGGCAGCATGTCACAGGGGCCTCCCGGGACACCAAGCTCTGACCTCAGCCTGGGGGAGCGCAAAGGTATGTGCTGACCAGGCTCATTCCCCCCCTGCCCCGTCCCCCCCCCACCCCCCTCCTCCCCTCTCCCCACACACACACTGGATGGCCAGAGGGGCCCTGGAGCTCTGCGTGGGAGCCCCTGTTTTCATTTAAAAATGTAAATAGAGGGGAGAAGACAGCTCACGTGTCCTCACACACTGAGGGATGCCGGTCTCCAAGCAAGGAGCTTTCACTGCAAGCTGCGGGCCCAGGCTTCAGGGGGCCTCCAACCCCCCTTCTTACAGCATCACCTGCCCGAGACACCCAGGAACAGGTGACAGACTCAGCCCCAGCACTCAACAGCTCTCAGGGCAGCACCACAGTCCAGAGCAAGGCGGCGGGGAGAGGGGCGCCCTCAGCCCCCCCGCCCCTGCAGCTCAGTGATTGAAAACCAGATTCCGCTCTCATCCCTGTGACCCTTTGATGCATAAGCTTTCTCCATCCATAGCCCTTCTCCTGTCCCCGAGCGGTGTCTGTGCTGATGCCAGCCTAGGGCTGGCAGCTGGCCCACCTGCGTCCTAGCACAGCCCCTGACACAGGGCTGGGCCTTCCCTGGACCCGTGTCACCCACTTCTCAGCGCAGGGTTCAGGGCTGAGAGGTACGTGCACACAGAGGAGGTCCAGACCCCCTTTCTCTCTGCCCCTCCCCCAGGGGTGCCTTGACCTTGTCTCTCTGAGAGGCATGCAGGGGTTGGAGCGCGTGTACAACAGGTTGGTTGCTGGCTTTGCATGCGTCCAGGCCAGTTGGGGTCCCCCGAGCCCTCCAGGAGTGATCCCCGAGTCAGGAGTGAGCCCCAAGCACCGCCAGGGTGCCCCCACCTCACATACAAACAGGCGTGGAGTTTACAAAACCTGCGACACCCCCGAGCAGGTGATGCTGTGTGCACCCCGCCGGCACGTCCCCCTCACATCTCTGGGGAATGCTTTGGGGGCCACGTAACTTGGTGCCCCAGCTCAGCTCAGGGGGCCCGGGTAGTCACATGAATCCCTGGAGGCCTTGACTGGTCCAGCAGCTGGGGGGAGGAGAGGCCCCGTCTCAGATAATAGCCAACTTACAGTAGAAACGACATCTGCACCTGTATGTTCATTGCAGCACTATTTACAATAGCCAGAATCTGGAAACAACCCGAGTGCCCGAGAACAGATAACTGGTTAAAGAAACTTTGGTACATCTACACAATGGAGTACTATGCAGCTGTTAGGAAAGACGAAGTCATGAAATTTGCATATAAGTGGATCAACATGGAGAGTATCATGCTAAGTGAAATGAGTCAGAAAGAGAGAGACAGACATAGAAGGACTGCACTCATTCGTGGAAGATAAAGTCACATCACAAAAAATCACAAATCATCCTGTTAATCGTCAATTGCCTCGAGCAGGCCCCAGTAATGTCTCCTTCATCCTAGCCCTGAGATTATATTCAAGGCTCTTTAGGAGAATGAGACCCATCATTGTTACTGGTATTTGGCATATTGGGTACGCCACGGGGAGTTTGCCAGACTCTGCCCTGTGGGCAGTCTACATTCGGTAACCTGCCAGTTTGTCCAAAGTAGGAATGAGATAATAAGATATAATGAGATAATAAGATGATAATATAATAAGAGATGTCATAATAGGATGTCGCGCGGCCACAAATGCGGCCGCGCGGTTCCGGGAGCTGGTTTTTAAGGACAGTAGAGAGAAGGGTCAGGAGGATCGCTCCATGGTTTGGAAGCCAATCTCAAAAAAAAAAGCAGCTGGGATGGAGAAGAGACCTCTAAGTGAATGATGGTTGGAGGGCTCGCTAGGGATGGGAGATGCCTGCAGAAAGTAGGCTATGAACCAAATACGATGGCCACTTAGTATCTGTATTGCAAACCATAACACCCAGAAGAAGAGAGGAGTAAGAGGGAATGTGTCTGCCACAGAGGTGGGGGGTAGGAAGGGGTGGGGGGGGAGGGATACTGGGACCAATGGTGGTGGAAAATGGGCACTGGTGGAGGGAAGGGTACTGGAACATTGTTTGAAAACAATTATGAAAGTTTGTATGTCTGTAACTGTATCTCATGGTGATTCGTTACAATTTAAAAAAAAAAAAATAACTGCCAACTGCTCCGCCAACGAGTTCTGCTCCAAGCAGTGGGATCCAGGCTTCACAGCCTTCGGGCTTGGGGTTTGGGACACCCTTCCTGGCCCCCCGAGGGCTTCCGTCCTGCCCTACAACTCTGCCATGCGGGTGGCCTTGGATGCCAGGATCTCAGGGCCGGAGGTTGTGGAGACCCGGAAGCCGGAATGAGCTCGTGAAACACTCCTGGGAAGCTTCCAGAAACCCTCGCATCCTCACAAGGTGAAGGCTGCTGCCAGGCAGAGTCATGGGTGCCTCCGCAGCCCCCAATACCTCCTCCTTCCCGCACAGTCCCGTGGGCCGGTGGGCCCCACACAGCACCCTGCAGAGCGGCACTGACCCCTGCTGATGCTGTTCCCCAGGTCACCCTTCCCACCTACACGGCGCCATCTTCCCCACATCCCAGCCATCCCCGGGCATGAGCCAGCCCAGAGGCCCCTGGACCTGTCGAACGCCTCCTCTGACCCTTCCAGCTCCCACGGGGTCAGAGGGCAGCACACCCCCAGGTCCAGACCAGTGGGGACACAGGAACCCTCTCTTGGGGCTCTGTGTGTGTGTGTGTGTGTGTGTGTGTGAGAGAGAGAGAGAGAGAGAGAGAGAGAGAGAGAGAGAGAGAGAGAAACTCAGGGTGTGTCTGATTATCCCTGTGGGCATCAGAAAGAGAAATAAAAACCATCACTTGCATGTTCTGAAAACAAGTATTTTGAGATTTAGTAGCAGAGGAAGACACACGCCCCTAAAGTCAGTCAGCATGTTTGCCAGCTCACTTTCCCATCTCCACCCAGAAAAGGAATAAAAAAAAAAAAACTAAAAAAATTCAAACCGTTTTATTATGGAAATTTCCAAACACTCATAAAAGAACTTTTCTAGACAAGCCCCCAGAGACCCACCTCCGCCCATGGCACCCCTGGCTCAATTCACCCACAGGCACGCACACCCCAGTTTCTTCTGGGGGGGCCACAGCAGGCAGTGCTCCAGGCTCAATCCTGGTTCTGCACTCAGGAATTACTCCTGGCAGTGCTCAGGGACTTTAGGGACATTGAGGAGAGTCTGGCAGAGTCTGGCAAACTCCCTGTGGTGTACCCAATATGCCAAATACCAGTAACAATGATGGGTCTCATTCTCCTAAAGAGCCTTGAATATAATCTCAGGACTAGGATGAAGGAGACGTTACTGGGGCCTGCTCGAGGCAATCGACGATTAACAGGATGATTTGTGATTGATTGTGAGGATATTATCCAGGTAGGCCTGTAAAAGGCAAGTGCCCTGCCCACTATCACCCTCCAAGTCTTTTTGTTTGGGGGATTCACCTGGTGATGCTCAGGGTTTACTCCTAGTTCTGTGCTCAGGAATCACCTTTGACAGTGCTTGGGGGACCATATGGGATGCTGGGGATCAAATCCACTGTATTATTACTCTGGTCCAGAACCCATATTCTTTAGGGGACCTTAAAGAAAGTGCCAGATGCCAGATCTTCCAGCCCCTCCTCCCACAGGCATCTCCAGCAGTGAGGAGCTGTGTGAAAGCACCCCCCCACCTCCTGCCGCCCCCACCCCAATCACACTCAGAGTTACTGCGATTCCTGGAGATTAGCAAACCTCCTACACCTTCATGTCTTTTTGAATCTGGTTCATTTGAATCATGATCCAAATAAAACTATCCTGCGTGCATTGACTACAGCTCTCTCTCTCTCTCCCTCTCTCCCTCCCTTCCTTCCTCCCTCTTTCCCCCTCTCTCCCCCCCCTTTCTCCTAATCTCTCTCCCTCCCTCCCTCTCCCTCTCCCTCTCTCCCTCTCTTTCTCTCTCTGAGAGACCAGCTGATTTAAGCTACACACTGATTAAAAAAAAAATTTCTTTTTTTTTTCCCCAGTTAGCAGAAAACTCTTCGGAAGAGGATCATTTCCACCAGCAAATAAAGTGAATTCACCAATTGTTCCAGGCCCCAGGAATCTCCTGCATTTGAATTCGAATCCTGGAGGAATTCGAATTTCTTATTCAATTTCAAGTGAAACCCCCTCTGCATTTCAGAGAGCACAAACAAGACAAGTCACTTCTATCAATCTCCAACTCCAGAGGAGGGAAAATACCTCAAACAGAAGCAAGACTTACTTGGGTGATGGTCCCCCCACACCCCCACCCAGGGCCTGAAGGTGAGGAACAAATGTCCAGGGAGAAGGAACTCCAGAAGGTGAGGAACAAATGTCCAGGGAGAAGGAACTCCAGTTTCTGGACCCCTGAGGCCTGCTGGGGCTGG